CCTAGAGTCAACGAGAGAAGTAACCGAAGCCTTAAATCACCACCAGCCAAATCTAACACACCTCTTTCGAAAGGTTACTTACCCAGGTTACACGAGTTTTTGGATTGTGGAGCGACCGAGTCGCAGTCCTTTTTGGTCATCACAATATGTAATAATCCAATCTTCTACATTATACTATATTAATTTAAATATACTGTATATAATTTATATAAGGTTTTTATTTAAACCTTTTACGTATTATAATTATTTAATAAGGCACATGCCATAATGCCATATACCGTAATCAATTACTACGACAGCTATAACTCAGAGATCATATAGAATCGAGTGTGATTCATGACTCTAGTAGCAAAGTGAGTTATTTCTGTAAATAAAAGAACGATTTGTTTTTTTTTTTATTTTTATTAGGAGTCTGATTGATATCATACTCATTTAGCATCTTCGCAAAGTTATGGAATTATAGTCCGATAAAGACTAATAAAGTGTCATGCTTTGTTATCACATGTATTAAGAAAAAATAAATGATTTTGATCAAGTAATAATAATAGGTAAAAGGAAGTACTTTGACGAAGTTAAAGTACTATACGTATTTAATATAAAATTTTTTTATTTTAATATGAAAAATTGTCTTTTAATAACAATATAATAAATCTACACGAGAAATTTAAATTTTGAGAAGGGTAGACAATTTGACAAATTGAGATTATTTCAGAATCTAGAGTTTTTACACAATTCGATTCTTCACTCTAAAAGAATCTAATGAAAACTCGCTCTAATAGATCAATAAATTAGAAATATATTTGAACAGTATAGTAAGAAGTAGGGGATCATAGCTTATATATCTCTGCCAGAGATGCCTAGAAAAACCCATCCAAATAATATAAAATTTTAAATAAGATCATCTAGAGCCGGGTAGTATTTATATCTATCACGCAATTTTATAACTAGGGACTGAACTCGAGTCAACTCGTATCTTAAAAAACATAGTCTTAACTCGAATTAACTCGAGTCAAGACTATGTTTTTTAAGCCACGAGTTGACTCGAGTCCAGTCTCTATTTATAACTCACAACTCATTCAGTAATCAATTTGTAAATTAGACAATTCCAAAAAAATAAAAAACGAGGTGTCTCATGAACCAGCGATCAAATTTGGATATTATTCAATTCTTCCCACTGAATAGAATGAAGAATCAGATTGCATAAAAAGCTCCAGGTTTAAAATATATCAACTTGTCAAAATACTCTTGTCAGTCTAATAAATACTTTAATACTTTAATATAATGGTTATCTTGTGAGAGTTATAGACGTAAGATGGATAATAAGATTATTTTGCGTGAAGATGGATGTATCATATCAGTGATCTGGATAAAAGTAAAATGCTACAGCTATTATCAAATAAGTCGCTATTAATAATATGCCTTCTAACCAATTTGATCTCCCATCTAGAAGTATAATTTAATAATAAAGATGAGACATTAAGGTGCTATATTAACAAGATAATAAAACAATGCTTACCCTATGTTAAATATCCATTTAAATTTTAAATTTAAGAAATAGAGTGGTTTCACTACATTAATTTTGAAGCTTTTTTTTTTGTTTGTTTTAAAAAGAAAACATCCAAAAGAATACTCACTTGAACTAAATAATTTTTGAGTATAACTGAAATAAATAAGCAAATGGTTTCAAATGGTGAAAAAAATAGAGACATAGGCTGATTAATAATCCATCCCAAAATCACCAATAGTGGAGTAATAAACAGCGCGGATTGCTATATTTATTATGAAAAGCGAAAAAAAAAATTTTTAAAAAATTTAAAAATTACATATAATTGTTATATTATTGCGTAACTTACGGTTGAACTTCCGACAGACATAACAAGGACTGAATTCATCTTATTTTTACTTGCGGTATTAACAGTGTTCGCATACTATTACAATTTAGACGTATAAATACTTTAAAAAAAGGTGCAATGGTTTAATTATAAACATTATGAATACCTTAGCACCATGACCAACTATGGGTAACAAAACCAACGCTATAAAAGTTTTGCTTATGTCATAGGACGTGACAATTCCCTCGATTGATGTTACGAGAAACTTTGCTGAAAAAGCAATAATCACCGTCATTACAATTAACAAAATTAATGACGCTATCAGGCTTATATGCTTTTCACTCTTTTCTTCTTTATCTATTTGTTCTCTGTTTTCTTCATCTTCACCTTTATGGCTGTAATATTTCTCAAATAGTTTTTTATGGGTTTTTATCTATATGTAATAGAAGAAATACTGTAATTATAAAAATATGAGAATACAGAGTATGACGATGAAATGAACTTCCATACTACCTTAAAACATAAATAGAGTAAATATATAACTAATAATACTATTGATACTTCATAGCTTATATGCAAAATCCTATCATTAACCATAACGGCAGGAATATTGGAAAAGCGATAATTGATAAGAAGGCTGAATGCGGAAGGTAAAATTAGAGAAATACAAGCTAATGTCATCACACTAGACGTCATTTGTGCAGCAGTCGAACTAAATTCTTGTTCAAGCTTGTCTTCTTTAAGAATTTCGATTCCACCAATGAGAAAACAAAATCCTAATACAAGCAAAAGATGGGAGAATATAGACCCTAGAATTGCTGCTTGGACAACACGAATTTGACCATTCACCAACGCAATTATGGTTACTATTAATTCTACCGAATTGCTAGATGTTATATTCAATAGGCTTCCTAGGAGCTTTATAAGAATATTAGTATTAAAATAACTAAAGTAGTTGATATCATGTCGTTTGATAACAATACCTCACCGGAATGGTACGATGTTTCACCATTTGCAAACCTCAGCACTTGAGCTGATGGTATAATTGCAATAAAGTTCATTATAAAAATTAGTGTATCACTCGAACTAAGAAAGTGAACTATATACCCTATAGGAACGAAAAATAAAAGTACATTAGATTTATTAGAAAAGCTAATCATTTTAAAAGTATCTATCAAGGATAATTGGTTTTTTTGAATAGATTGACACATTTTTTTTTTATCTTACAAAATCGATTTTTGCAATTTCATACGTATTTATAGTTACATAATCTTGCAGTTAATTTTTCTGGAATAGGATTGCTATTATTATTGAAAGTTTCTTTTTTTGTCTTAAGCATCACAATTCTTATTTGGCAATGCCTTATATTGTTATGGATCAACAGCTATGTAATTTATATACATATAAATTAAATTAAATAATTTAATTAATTTACAAGAAATATTGTATATAATTTAGTATATAATTATAATTAAATTTAGAATTATAAAAGCAAAAAGTTATTTAATAATTTTAACATAGCAATGGATGTATAAAACAGTCAGTTATTCATAATGGTAAAGATATTTTGTTTACTGTATTTTTATGTTACTGTAATAAATCTCGGTGCGAACTTGAATTTGACGGTCAATTACAAGTTTGCACTTAGTAATAATATAAAAAACTAAATTTACTAGAATTTTTTTGCTAATAATAAGTTTGATTTATATCAAGTATATAGCATAAAAAAGTTCTAAAAATATAAAATAATGTATGAAGTAATAGCAATAGATCTATGTTAACAATTTTTTTATGTTTAGCACAGTATTATTGCTAAATATCTATAATAATTTCTTTTTAATTTTGCGATAATCTTTGCGATTAAATATTTAAAATTTAATTTATTCTGATTATTTTAAATCGCTAACAGGATAGATTAAGATCGGAACACAGAGTGAATCCAGTGCTACTAAGGCAATTTTAAAATTACATATTACAGTAGAATCTTCACAATCACAACATTTCATTACAACTGAAAATCTTAACTAATATAATAATGTAAGTTAATTCTATAACATATGTTATTTATAATTATTACATTCCACACCTGAGCTTGAAAGGAATGTTATTAATAAATGAAAAAATTGATTTCAAGCCGCCTAATTAATAAATAAGATCACTCGGTCAAAGTGTAGCATGAAGTCATGTATATATACATACGTAAATATTGTACTGTCGAAACCTTTCCGCATAATGACTAAGCGAAGCCTAAGCCAGGAACGGATGGACCAGTAAATTATATTATCAGGAATTTTTCTGCAATTCGAGAACAGCTAAATTGTTTTCAATGAATTTGTTTAAATTAATGTTACAATTCAGTGTATTGATTTAAATTAAAATTATTATAAAAAATGACGTGGAAAACAAAAGTTATGGAACTGGAGAAACTTTGATATTTCAGTTTATAAGGAATTCATGGAAGCCAAAACCCTATTTATTCCATTATAAGAAACTGTAAATAATCAGCTTGTTTCATTTATTCATTATATAATAAGCTATAAAAAAATATAAAAACAACATAGTATTTAACATAATTATATTTAGCTTGTTATCATATTCACATAATTAATCATTCTTGTATTTACATGTAGAACTTGATCTTGTTGAAATCTTTTCATCACGAAAGAAATGATTGAATCAAATTTTGTACAGTACTGGGCTGCATAAGACATCCTCTCTACATATAGAGCGCCAATTTTTAATGATTATATAATCTATTTTGATTTGCTAATTTTTGATGTAATTGATTCTAATTGGTTAATTAAACATATATTTATATTATAGCGCTTTGCAAAAAGATGTGAACATGTGATTTTAGTGATGATGATGGATGAGAATCACTAAGATTCCAGATTGTCTGTTACTTTATATTTACGATTGGTTACGTTTATATTTCTTTATCGCTGTTTGCAAAAAGGTGTGACCCCCATGATTTTTGTGATGATGCGGGGAAATTTTAAATAGAGAATTTAATAAGAGAATTTAATAGAGAATCTACGTAATTAATCATACTTTAAATCAGTATAAAACTATTATTACGTATTCGCTGTTTTCAAAAAGGCGTGACCAATTGTGTCTAGTACACATCGTAACCCTACCAGAAATTCGGCAAAAATTTTTTTTTTACTTTGAAAATATTCTTGTTAGCATGCCCCCTGTATATAGTAATGACTTGAAATGGCGTATAATTTATCTACAATATGATGGCTATTCTAAATCGCAAATCGCCAAACTTCTTTATATTAGTAAAGGTTTGGTGAAAAAAGTACTACGTCTATATAAAAAGTGGGGAACTATAACTAATCCCTGGCAACAAATACCTGGACGGCATAAAACTTTCAATCAAAATGATATGAACGTAATGATTATTTATTATTTTGATATCTAATTGTAATTATACTCTAAAATTCACATTATACAAAATAGATATTACGAAACATTATTCAAGAAAATGTGGACTGGTATCTCGATGAGATTGCTTTGCAAATGGAAATTCAGTGTGGTAAACATGTTTCAGTTTCTACTCTTTGGCGTTCATTAGCTTATTGCGGAATAACACGAAAGAAGGTATTTTAGCTGATATATTTCATATATGTAAAGTATAAGGTATTATAATATTTTATTCTAGTTACATAAAGCAGCAAAAGAACGCAATGAATTGCTTCGTAGTGCCTTTATGTTACGCATAGGTACCCAATACCAATGCGAACAATTAGTCTTCCTAGATGAATCATCTAAGGATGAACGAACCATTTCTCGAGGATATGGTTATTCAGAAATAAATACAAGATCTGTTAAAAAAACAGTATTTGTTTGTGGCATATGTTACACACTTTTACCTGCACTTACTTTGGATGGTATTATTGCTGTAGATATTATGGAGGGTAGTTGTACAAAAATAAGATTTAAGGAATTTGTAATTTCTCAAGTGGTACAATATAATTATTATATATATATATATTTTTTATAATACATACATAATAAATTGAAATTTCTAATTTAATAATTATTATATTGATATTAGCTACCTCAAATGAATTCATATCCGAATACAAGAAGTATTTTAATACTTGATAATGCAAGAATTCATCATGATGATGGATTATTAGAATATTTAAATGCATTTGGTATACGTGTAGAATTTCTTCCCCCTTATTCACCTGATCTCAATCCCATAGAAACAGCTTTTTCATATATTAAAAATTATTTAAAAAGATATCGTTATTTCGTAGAAAGCTGCCCAGACCCAATATATTCTTTATTAGTCGCATGTTCACAAATTACACCCTCACTTTCTAATAGGTTTTTCAATGGGGCAGGTTACAAATAAATGAATTGTCAAATGATATTGAATTATATGGTAATGTGTTAACTGTATTATATTTTGCAGCATATTCACGAAGAGTTTCTCATGCACCAACTGTATCTACTCCACATTTTTCAAAGTTTTCATCTGATAATTTAGATAGTAACCGTACTGAAATTCTTTGCTGATCTAATTTCAATAAAAAATTCTGGTAATAATTATCAGTGCCTTCACTTTCGTCTACTTGCTTCAAAAAATCACTAATTGTAGGTGAAGTCATTCTGATACTAGTAGCTGATTGAGAAGGCATTTGAATAGATGTTTGAAAAGGTGTTCCATGAATTTGTGAAGGGACGTATGGTAAAAACATTTGGAATGGATTGTAAAATGGAGGTACTGCATATAGTTGTCCTGAAGATACTGGTTGCTGTATCGAATTAGATTGCAATGGTGATTGTAGTGGTGATGATGCTTTAATTTTTGAAGGATGTTGATATGCAAATAAAGGATGTGTAGGTGGTTCTGTTGGCATTGCTATTGCCTTACTCTATTTGAAAATAATCATAAAAAGTTTTATTTATAGTATCTAATATAAAATAAATTTGTATAAATTATACAGTATTTACCATTTCAGAGGCCCAAATCAAAAGCATCATGAATGTTATCTCAATGTGATTTTCTTTGGCTCTATCCTTATTTATGCAAGGCCGATTATGAATATTACAATGATTTGCTTTACGAATCTCCAAGACATTGCTTGCCATTATTGATTCTTTAGGTGATAAATTAGAAGTTTTAGGAATACGATTTTTATTTTTGAAAGTTGTAGTAAAATCATCATCTGAATTATCTTCAGATTCATCATACTAAATATATGTATATAATGTTCAGTAAAAGAATCAATATGTTATAAATTAATCTTAAATTATTTACTTGCCACTTTTTTTCGTTTTAGATTCGAAGAAGTACTGATAAATATTATAAGAAAAACCATGCTAACATTTTTTAAAGAGTATTTAGTATAATCCATTTGAAATTTTTTAAAATCTTGAGCATCTACTAATTGTGTGCCTGCTCCTGTTCCTTTTTCTGATTTAAATGCAACTCGATAATCACTTGCTTCAATTGATTTTTTTATTAATGTTTCAATATTGGAATGAATTTCAGAAAGTAATTCATCGACTGCAGATACTTTAGCCGTATACCATTTGGCTGGAAGAGATGTTCCATTTTCTAATTTAATGAATACTCCATAATTATACTCATGTTCAACATCCTCATTATCAGACGAAATTTTTTCTTCATCAGATTCGAATGTTATAGAATTAGCTATTTCAGGACTTTTAGGAACCGTAAGATCATAGGTTTTGGTTTCTAAAGGGGTATCATGATTTGTGATCGTTTCTTTAGATTTTTTTGGTATTAATTTCAATAAAATATTATTGCACCGGGAGCACAAAGAAAAATTGAATGCTTCTTTTAAACTTAGCAAATAACTATGAAGTGTTATTTTTTGCTGAATATACTCTACTTGTTCTACTGTCCAGCTTGGGTTGAATACTCGAGTATACGCATATTTGACAGCATCAGTTCGATTTCCTCTATGTGGCGCAGTACATATGTTGCAATTACATTTATTTTGCTGTAAATCGATTCCACAGTACAAGCATTTGCGACAACTAAAACAGGTTCCTCGATAATATTTTATCTTTATGTCTTGAACATTAGCCATTATAGCGAGAGAATAATGTGAAATTGATAAGAGAAATATTCAAGTTTATTTATTACGAAAAACAAATGAAAGAGCTAATATAAATATATTTATTGCAAACATACTATTAATAATCGCTATCGATTACTTCATTGTTCATGCATTTGCTATTATTAATACATAGTTATTACAATATTATTAATTACTCCCGTTTGCATAATTTATCGATCACATTACCTATCCATTACTACATTCTCAATTGTTCGCTAAATAAATCATGTCGATCACCGTCACACACATGACATATACTGATGCAATTTATTACGTAGATTCTCTATTAAATTCTCTTATTAAATTCTCTATTTAAAATTTCCCCACATCATCACAAAAATCATGGGGGGTCACACCTTTTTGCAAACAGCGATAAATCGGTTTAATTCTTAAAATCTCAAAAAATCTATAAAATCTCCGATTCTCACATGAAAAAGTGTTCTGCAGTGTTCACATCTTTTTGCAAAGCGCAATAAGCGCTAATTTTTTAAATCATTCGACAGAAATGCAGCTTCGTTAAAATTTATCATTGTCGAAGGATTTTTGATTTAACTTATTTAAAAGTTATAATAATTTAAAGTTTTGTTAATAAAAAATGGATGCGTTTTGCTGTCGGCATTATACCAATCTGAAGATGATATAGGACATAAAACGTTTAGAACAAGTAAAAAAATCATAGAATGGACCAAATAAAAACGTCGATAAATTAAGAGCAGCTTGATTGGTGAAAGTTTTTTTGTAAAATACAAAGAGCTTTAAAATATCGTTCAAATTTATAGTTAGTATAATCGTTCAATTTGGTTTGATATTGCTAAAGCTGGTCAGATTTGTCAGTCACATTTTTGAAAAGTCAATTTGAAAAATTTCATAAATAAATCTTACTCTGTATAGATGCATTAACGTATTTTGTGTTGTGCTATTCAAAAGTTCCAACACACAGTCCTTTTTTGTGATTTTATGTATAGAAACCACGATGATTATTTATACAAATATATATATTTGCATAAATAATCATTATGATCTTATATTCACTTAAAAAAAATAAGGATCATGTATTGGAACTTTTAAAGACCCAGAATATGCGATACATTAGATTCAAAAATTATGAAAAATTTTATAATAAATCTCAACCAGAAAAATACTCTTATACAGTATATTCTTATTGTAGTTTTGCATGTTTCACTATTTCATACTTATTTATCACCATTACCCTATAAAAAAAGTTCGTACAGTTATTGTAGGCATTGTCCAAAAAATGTTCGGAACGGAGTCGATTTTCCGAACACGGTTTATGTTTGTACGGGATGTAAAAAATAGAAGATCTTTGATTGAAAATTATCGTATAAAAAACATATAAAAAGCGCATTCATCCAATAACATCCTTTAAATGTTCGAAACGGAGTCGATTTTCCGGACAAAAAATCGAATAATTTCAGAATTTTCCGAACAATTCCAAGAGATTTTTTTTTATAGGGTTATGGTGAATTAAACTAATGCTCGGGTCACCAAATTCAATTACGTGGTCCTGTTGCATCTAAAGTAGCCACCCTATCTAAAGTAGCCCTGGGCTAGAATTACGATTTAGTGCATGCATGAAGATCTAATTTCAGGGGCCTAATTTTAGTCAGGCGCTACTTTATATATCTAAAGTAGCTACTTTAGATAAATCGCTACTTTAGATGCAACAGTCCCAGATCTATATCGATAACGCGACTAATTTATCTTTTCCATCTCTCCACCTTATTAGAATTGAAAATTATTCCAAAAGTCACTAAATAGCCCTTTTTTAAAGTGACCCTATCAATTAGAACCGATATATGATGACGCATCTTAATCTGGGGATATTGATTACAAAAATCAGTATTATATATAAGCAGCAGATTTTGAGGAATGTAATTCGATTTTACGGTGTTTGCATAAATGATTTTAGTGATTTTTTATCTTGTGGCTTCGAGATGTTGATTGTGGATCAAGGTTCAATAGCCAAACGATCATTTTGAGTTATGTCTGCAAGTAAAATAATGATCCTCTTTTTCATTATTATGTAGGAGCCTGATCAATACTTTTCTTCTTTAAGCCTTTTGCAGAAATGTGGAATTGCAAACCGATGATGTGCTATGTAATAACGAAACTTTTCCCATATGCATTAAGATATATTAAGTGACTTTGTTCGAATAATAATAAAAGATGAAAGTAAGTATTTTAATAAAACATAAAATATGTATTCAATATAAAGTCTTATATTTTTTAATATGTAAAAATTTTTTGTCTACTAAACAATTTAAATAAATTGGCTATGAAATAACGCCTATAAAAAATAAAATTTGAAGAGGGTAGAATATTTTAACAAACTGAGATTATTTCAGGATCTAGAGACTTTTTACACCATTTGATTCTTCACTCTGAGAGGAATCAAATAGTAAAAATTTGTTCGAACAGATCACTAGGTCAGAGATACCTTTGTTTGAATTATAGAAGAAATTATACGAAATAGATATCATTGTAAATTAAATACAAATTGCGATATTTGGTGGACCAGCGATTGAATTGAAAAATTTTTGTTATTCAATCTCTTCCACCGAGAAGATACAAACAATTTCTGTTCCAGATCTCTCAATATATCAATTCGTCAAAATACCTACACCAATATTATAAATAATTTATCACTTTAATGTATCAAAATATGGTTTTTACTATGTATTGTGTGGGAGAGTTATATGAGACATAAGGTGGATAACAAAATTATCTTGCATGAAGGATGTATCATATCATTGGCCTGAATAAAAGGAAAATGCTAAAGCCATTATCAAATAAGTCGATATTAACATTGTACCTTCTAACCAATTTGATTTCCCATCTAAAAATACAATTTAATAGTAAGTTAAGGTATTAAAGTATTATACTGATGATATAATGAAATAATACTTACCCTATGTTAAAAGAATATTTTAAACAGAATGGTACGTTAATTTTTAAAAAAAAAAATTTCAATAAAAAAAAAAATTCCAAAGGCAACACACCTGAACTAAGTAATTTTTGAGTATAATTGCAATAACTACACAAATAGTTTCAAATGGTGAAAAAGACAGGGACATAGGCTTACTAATAATCCATCCCAAAATCACCAAGAGTGGGGTAGTAAGCAACGCGGTTCGCTACATTTATTGTGTAAAGAGAAGAAAAAATATTAAAAAAATAGAACATTACATATAATTGCTATATTATCACACAACTTACAATTGAACTTTTAGAAGATAGAATGGTAGTTGCCTTCATTCTTTTTTCACGTATAGTTGGTTTGATTTTTTTACATTCATCACATTCAGTATTATTTTCATATTTAGTTGCCTTCATTTTTTTTCTACATTCATCGCATACTTCGAATTCAATATATTTAATATCAACGAAGGCAATGGTAATGAACTATTACAAATTAAACATGTAAATACTTATCGAAAGAACGATATTTGACAATAAAGCCAACATTTTGAATACCTTAGCAATATGACAAACTATAGGTAGTAAAATCAACCCAATAAAAGGTTTACTTAGACCAACAATTCCATCTATTGATTTTATGAGAAATATGGCTGAAAAAACAATAATTACGGCCATCATGGCAAGCAAAACTAATGACGTTATCGTGTCTATATATTCTTCGCCTTCATGACTTAATATAAATAGTTTATCATGGGTGTATAACTATATGTAAATAAAGAAATAGATTATAAGCACGTGAATGTAGAGCACGACGACGAAATGAATTTCTATATTACCTTAAAAATTACATATAGTACATATATAACTAATAACACCAATGATGTTCCATAACTTATACGTAATACCATATCATAACTTTTTTGGACAAAAACACTGAATGCAGCAGGTAGAACTAGAGAAATACATGATAATGTCAACACTCCAGTAATAGTTTGTGCAATTGTCGAACTAAAATCTTGTTCAAGCTTTTCTTTTTTAAGAATTTTGACTCCACCAACGAGAAAACACAATCCTAATACAAGCAGAATATTAAAGAATAAAGATCCTAGCACTACTGATTGGACCAATTGAATTTGACCATTCACCAACGTAATTATAGTTATTATTAATTCTATCAAATTTCTAAATAATACATCTATTATGTTTCTTATAATAGGCTTTATTAAAAAATATTAAAATTAGAATAATGAAAGTAATGATTGTTACGTCGTTTAGTAAACAATACCTCTTCAAAATAGTACGTAAGTTCATTAAGCCGGTAACCCAATGATATAATAGCCAGAGAATTTATTGTAAAAACTAGTATGGCATTTAAGCTAAGAAAGTGCACTATGTATCCCACGGGAACGAAAAACAAAAATATATTAATTTTAGAATAAAATATTTTTTTAAAAGATTCTATGGGGGATAACTTTTTGCGAGCTTTTCTAGTAGATTGAGTCATTTTTTGTTATATTCAAAATCAAATTTTGCGTTCTTATAATATTTATAGTTACTGTAACATTGCAGTTAATTTTTCCCGGAATAGGATTGACATTATCAATGAATGTTTCTTTTTTTGAGCCTTAAGGATCACAGGCTCATATTCGGTAACGCCCTATATTGTTGTGTATCAAGAAATTTATGTAATTAACATGATTGAAGCTGAGCAAAGTTTAAATGAGAAACCTTGTTAGAATTTATAAAATTATAACGCAAATGTGAATAAAACTATGTCAAATGTATTTTATTCACTGACAATAGTATTTTATAAATTAAGCTTATTATTATTATTATTATTTTAAAGCAGGCTCTTTTTAAAGTTATCCAGGGAGACCACGAATAGTACAATCACATGATTCGCAGCTATGCCTCGATAAAAACTAATAGCAGCATAATTGTTGCTACGTACATATTGATATGAGAAAGCCATATGCAGGAGTCAATTTAAACCACATGATTCGGTCATTTTCTAAAAATGAGGCAGTTATGGCGCTTAGTACTTTTGGTTGTCGCCCTGGAGACTCCTCTTAATATGATTATTATCATGTATAGTAATGTATAAACTTTTATAGTTTAATATTCGTAATCAGTAATTGATTTTTAAAGCAATTTATTTCCAAATATGTTAATTGCAAAATGCCCTAATATCATTGAATTAAATCTTAAATATAGTGAAGCAATTCATTAATAATATTAATAATTACTTTTTATATTTCATTTTGGCTGTTAAAGAATTATACATGACTAGCTTGAATAATTGGCTTGTTTATATTGAACTGACGATTTGGTAAAAAAGTTCGTTATCAATTACATGATTACCAACAATGACTTTAGCAGGATTGGTAGATTTATCTGTATGATGAAAAACAGTAAAATTTGAAAAAAAATTCAAGGTTCAGCATATTTGGAGTTCATTATAAAAAAGAGGATCTAACATTTAATTGACCGAATTTATTCGTCGAGAGTTTCGTTAATTGTCGAGAGTTTCATCAAAGGTTTCATCAGATCAGTGCGTGATGAGAAACCTTTAATCATTGCAGAGAATAGTCTTGTCTTGTCAGGTGTCATAAATTCCACATAATATTATTGGAACTTTGATCTGATCAATTCATCTGCTACAATCTCAATTACCTGAGGTCAAATGAAAAATCGTTATCCGGCATTTATATGATCATGTGATTTTTTTGGCATGATATTTTTGCATGAGGTTACGTAATCATTTATACAAAAACATCATAGGAAAAACATCACATGGTCATATATGTCTCCGGATAACATCAATATTGGGCATATGACGAATAACAGGAAATTTTTTCATCGTCTGCCCAATATTGTATACATATACACAATGTTAATTTATAGAATTGTGGAACGAATCATTGTTATTATATGATACAAACCATAATAACCAAGCTATTGTACGCACGTACGTATGTAACGGTAAATACAAGAAGTTCTTCGTAGTACCACTAATGACGAATTTGGGGAACGTTATAGCCAGATACGAACGAGATTAGTTTTTTTTTGATGCAGTTTGTAGTTTATTTATATATAATATCAAGAATGGAATTTATGCAATATGTAGATCAATATGTAATGTAGGTACTGTACAGTACGTCTTTACAATAAAAATGTATATTGTATTACAGATATAGATGCAGACTTATGACATCACCTAGTTACGTCCTATATAAATAATCGGTTTATAAAATAAACCACAATTGAGTCGTAACTAGTAACGTCAATAAGTCTGCATCTATAATTACAGAAACCCAATGAAATCCGTGATAAATGAATAAGATATCTGCACAACGTAGTTGCGCTAAAACCAAGAACAGGAAATTTCTGTTAAGTTATTTACTTACTTATTATCTTTATATGCATGTATAGTTGTCATCGTAATTACTGAATTACACATTATGGTATGTGCTGTGAGTTCTGGAATCAGTCTCCAGTATTTCGTACTTATGGTATATGTAATATCTAAGGCGATTATATACAGTATTGGTTTATAATATTTTATTATAAATGAAAAAAATTTTTTAGAAGATTCGCCATATCGCGGATATTTAGAATTACTATCTAAAAATTTCAAAATATTTAACCATAAATAACTTTTTATTCATTAGTTTGTTTTGGATGATTTTACTATCAAAATAAACGTCTCAGTGAGACGATTCTAAAGAACCTAAAATTGTTAAATCCAATAATGGAATCCCGAGATAGTTAAATGTTTGTGTCACTTCAGATGTTTTAGGATTGATTAAGCCCAATCCTAATACACCGAAGTGACACAAATCTCAGAATTCAATTATTGGATTTTAATGATTTTAGATTCGTTATAATCGTCTCACTGAGACGGTCATTTTATTAATAAAATCATCTAAACTGACCAGTGAATCAAAAGTTATTTTATGGTTAAAAATTTTGAAATTTTTAAAAAATATTTCCAAATGTCCGCAAATATAAATGACTTCTCAAAATTATAAATTTCCAGTTTCGACTCTTTCTACTGCAATAGCTCCATATGACCATACTATTCATAATGATGGTAATTATAAAATTAACCCGACTTTCTTATTATATCGTAATAAATTTTTGGTTCGAACTTAAACAAACTGTCATTTATAAATTAATAATAAATTTGTACATAATAAGTTATGTTTGGAAATATGTATAATAGTACATTTTTAGATTTTTAGATATAATGGAGTGATTCAGAATAAGGATCAGGTTTCTGAATTTGAATTAAATTAGAGATGTATTTATTTCGAAATCGCGGTTCATAAATCTTATTTATATAATACCTTTTTATGATCGTGAATTTTCTTTCGAGGCCTGATGTATATTTTAAAACACCTTATATTTCTGAATGACAATTACATAAATAGTATTTTAGAAGTATTAATAGAAGAATATTATATTACTATTCATAAAAATATAGCTAATATTCACAAAAAAGAAATCAATGAACTATTGGAACTATTACAAACAATTGAATTAGATCGATATCTTACAATTCGTGAAAAAACTAACAAGTTTTATGATTTTTTCTTCTTTGGTGGTTTGTTTAAAAGTTTTTTTTTAGGAGGCATACTAAATATTAATAATTCTAAAATAAATATGTAATATTACTATTATTACCTATGAATTAAAATTTAAGCATAATTTGTAGTTCTTTATTAATTATTACGATAGGATCATATTATAACAATACATAAAAAAAAAAAGGTTACTCATTTTATCTCCGGATAATTCCTATTTCTTTTTCTGATTTCAAATTTTCAAAACAGAATTAGGACATTTTGTACTTCAACTTATTTTCGAAATATGTTAATTATGAATACCTTAATGAAGTATATAGCACAAAAATTTTGCAAAAAAAAGATGATGTCTGATTTCTGATTCCGATTTCTTTGACATTAAAAAAAAAAAAAGGGGGGAATTTACAAATAAGGGCCCAAAAATGAAAATAATTACAAATACGGGCCCAAAGTGAAAATATTTATTTATACGGGCCCAAAATCTTAAAATATTACAAATAAGGGCCCAAGTATTGCTACGCCATAATAAGCGCCACAATTATTCGCCTTATAAATAAAGCGATATAGTTATAAGCAGTTTATTCAGTTTTATTAGAAGAGCGTAGTTGCTCTATACTATGCATATTACATTGAATTAACCCAATATTTCGAATGCTAATTTTCCCATTTAGACAATTACCAAATTATCGTTTTCCCAATATACTAATTTTTTTTTTGATTACGTCTTCGGCTACATGTACGTATATTATGACCTTTTTCACCGCATCTTCCACAAGTGAGTTGATCTTCAGGTGCTGTTTCACCACGACTACGTAACCGAGTTTTTCGTGGTCGTCCTACTTGCTTGATTGTGGGAGGTGGTAAAGTTTTTTTGTCGGGAAAACACATTTCTGAATCAACAGGATAACATATTCCTTATAAATATTTTGAAGGGAACTGGTATGATATGTGATATCGGTAAATTGAGATGGTTGTTGACCTGTCTTAAGAATAACGGCACAAGCGTGTATGCAAGGAAATCGAAATTCTTGGAATTCTTGACAAGTACAAGTTAAAAGGGTAAGATCCACAATACGAAAACTATGTTTTTCACTTTTGACTTCAAAAAGAGATTCATTAATTTGATACACCATTCGATTACGGCATCCATTAATAGTAGACTGAAGTCTTTGAGCAGTTTGTGGTGGTAATATTGTCTGCACAGATAAATATGCTGTGCGACGATCATAAAATGGCGTATTAACTCTACGTACATATTGTGAGACCCGAAACCCGTGATCGATCACGTGAAAAATGCACGAAATGCACGAAGTGCAAATAATGTCATTTATGATCGAAAACGGTATTTCAGATGCGAAGGGGTAGATAGAAAATAAAGGGAGGATGTACGTACAAATTAACCATCCTTAAAAATATTAGGGAAATAATTGAAAACAGTTTTAAATAGTTTTATAGAATATTAAATGTAAAGTCGCATTTGTAAGCGACGGAAATAATCAATATAAATAAAGGCCGAATTGGCCCTCAAGAGCAGTAATCGCTCGTTGCTTTATTAATTGATAAGTCCCTATTCTATAAAAATCGCCCATAATAATACACTACCCTTATAACCCTAATAACCCTAATAACGTTAATAAAATCGTTCACTTGATTGCTTGATCACGTGACTTAACCGACCCTCTTTCGTTAACCAAGTAACCGAAGCCTTAATCACCCGCTAGCCAAATCTAACACGCCTCTTTCGTAAGATTACTTACTGCAGGTTACACGGGTTTTTGGATTGTGAAGTGACCGAGTTGCAGTTATCCCGACCATAACAATATAGAATAATTGCTTCAAATGGTTCTACAAGACGTTCGTCATGTAACCATGAATTGAGAGATTCTGATGTATTAGATGTTAAATGACCAAATCTGTT